AGCCAAGGATTATATAATAATAAATAGCTTAAAATTATCCTGCTGCAGCAGAAGGGAGCCCAACATTTTCTTTCTTTTTTTTGGCAAAGTTAAATTCAAAACCAAATAGTGCTACCCGCTTTACTTTTGTTTACTTTTGGCCACTGTTTGCTCTGTCCTCAGGCCGTAATGGGCATAGCTGTGCAGACGCAGGGTTTAAAGCACAATGAGAGTGCCCAAGCTTCTGCAGAAGCAGGGAGGTTTCCACAGAAAGGGATTTCCTTCCTCTGAGGGCTAAGGGCAGCTTGCGAGGACTTGAGAAAGAGCAAAGCAGGGAAGGAGGAGTACTGAGAAGCTGAGGGGAGAAAATGGAGCATGAGAGAAGTGATTGCGGGAGCAGAGCGAAGTGCTAAAGCGTTGTTTGCATCCCCTTGCCAAGAGAGCTCCACAGCAGCGAGGGCAGCCACAGAAACTGATTGCACGCACGCTTGAGCAGACTTGGGGTCCTCCAGCAGAGCCAGCTCAGCCTTTCAAGCAGAGCAGCCCCCTTGCCTGGCCAACACTCTCCAGCCTGTCCCAGGGCTCCCGCGCTGGGGGCTGCAGGGCAACTGCCCCAGCACCACTGCCCCGGCCCTCCCAGGCCAGCCCCACAAGACTTGGGAGACCACGCAGGACCCCAAGCCATGCAAACAGCACACCTCCACGTGTTCCCAGGTTGCAGCACCAAGGCAGGCCAAACCAGCTGGAAACCACTGCTTGCTTCCAAAGAACCTATTTGTGCTAGGCCCCACCTGCAGCAGCTCTGCACAGGATGGAGCAAAGCTCAGGAGACAGGGAGCATGGGAAGACTCACTTCAAGAGCTCACTCCTGAAAGAGCTCACTCTGCTGAAATGCTCGTGTGGACGTATCTCTGGGGAGAGCACCCAGTGCCCTTCAGACATGACAGAGGCTGGCTGGGGAGGACCTGCCCAACAATTTATAGGCAATAAACAGAGAAGGGGATCTGATGGTGCAGACTGCCAGACAGAAGTGGGGGGAAGTGCATTCTGCATGCTGAGCAGGTGCTGAGTTGCCACTCTAATGCTCTGAAATCACTGTACCCTGAGAAGCTGAAATGCAAAGAGGGATGAGAAAGGGCTGAAAGCAGCCCCAAGAGCACGAGGTCAAACTCAGTATCATCCAAAATGTCTTGGGCAGGATTTCCTACTTCAGGCAGTAGCTACAGAGGTTAAAAGGCCCACTGGGCCAGGCTGGTTTTGCAGGAAGGTTCCGAAGAGGGATATCATTCCCAAGGCATCCCAAATTTCTCCTGTGTGAAGGTCAAGAGGTCAGCTAGGGCTAGGGTTTTGGTTGCCAGTGGAGCTGGGTTCAAATGCCAGAAGCCATGCTGCTGGGGCACAGATGGCTGTGTCCCTTCCTCTCTTTCTCTCTGACGTGCTTTCCCTGGAAACTAAGAGCTGATTTGGCTGGGGACTGGGAGCTTTCAAAGCAGATGTAAGCAAGCAAGACAACGGGAGAATAAGGCCCCTCACAGAAGGTACTCTGTGCACCTTGCCCCAACAGCACACCCATCGCCCCTTCTCATGCCCTTAGACTTAAGCTGTAGGGCCTGAAAAAAGGACTCTTCCTGCAAGTCCCTAACAGCAACGACTTGCAAAGGCTGAGAAAGCAAATGGAACGCAGTAGGAATTTGATTTTCTCAGATTACACCAAGACACCCCCACCATTCCTTCCCCTCCTGAAAGAAGGAGGAGACCTACATGAAGAGCCTATCCCTCTTTGTCAGGGGAACACAGCTAATCACAAAAATCTGTTGAGGAACAGTGAATACAAACTTCTAAACAAAGCCGCAAAACTGAAGACCACATCCAAAAAATGGCACACAGGAATGCAGTAGTCACATCTAAGCTGCATTTGAAATTGATTTCTACGTATCAAAACCTCAAATCCATCTACAGAAAGAACTAAGGGGCACCTGGTAAAAATGAGTAAGTATGCGAAGCTGCGAGCACATTTTGGGTACTGATTCTTGAAATTCTTTTATCCTCTTGTTCTCTTCCTCCTCTTCTGACGCAGTTACACCCCATTCGCCCTACAAAGAGACCAAACAAATAACAGGTCGAGCTTCACCTTCCACCTGGATAAACCACCGTGTTTAACCAAACATCGCCAGAGCGAGCCAAACGCATAGCCTCTGATATTGAACCTGTCAGTCCACTCAGCAGCTGTACAGCACACTGAGACTGTTCAAGATGTATTAATGACCCGACTCCTTTAGAAGGAAAAGTTACAGAAGTCGTTCTCCCAATGTTCGTAGGAAGACAGAGACTATTCAGGAAATGTCAGGTTAACAAAGTCCCACCCCAGGACCGCACTTCCCACAGATGGACAGCTCGGAGGCGGGCATGGAGCTACGGCATTCATTGTCAGAAGGTTTAGAATCTGCAAGCTGCTTCCATTTCCTTCACCTAAAACAGCCCTAAACGTCTTGTCCTCCAAAGCCAACTACAAGATCTATTCACCTAGACTTCTGGGGCAAGGCAGACATGAAGAATGCCATGCAGGGCTTTTCTTTGAATTCTCTACATTACTACTGATGACTTTGACGCCTGTCCCAACAACATTGTCCATTTCTGTTTCAGCTCTAGATGTTGTCAGAAACCCACTGAGTATTAGATAGCAAAAACCATATACAGCTGCTTCAGTTACCTGCCATGTTCTAGTGATAGCACTACTGTACCTCAAGCTCACGCTGTTTCTTTCGCTCTTCAAATTGCAACCTCAGCTGCAACTCTTCCAAAGCAGCTCTATACATTGCATCTTGGGCATTCTGGAGCTCAATGATCTGATCAAAAACAGCCCGAAGCTGGTTGAGAAGTACCTGTGAGATGGTACAGCAGCAAAACATTGAGGGGAGTTCTACAGTGAAAGAGATTTAACTTCCTTCCACTCTTTGGAACATGCAAACATTGAATCTTTTCATACACAGCCGGACAGACCATTTTGCAAAGCCCCAAGTCCCTTGCTGCCTGAAGCTGCATGCTTCTTAGGACCAAGAGCAACGGCCTCACGTTGCAGCAAGCTTTATAATCGGCACCCATCAGTGCGTGCAGGGACTAGGTACAAAGCCTCCCACAATAGTCTTATATCAGAGGGAGAAAAATGACTTTTCCCAGGGTTCCTGTAACATAATAGGGGAGAGTCGCTAAGCCATGAGCCAAGATCACAAAGCTGCAGCTTAATGCAGAGGTAAGACTTACCCTGGAGTCACTATCCAGCAAGCACCGAGCGATGATTGTGTCCAGAAAAACTTCATGAGCTGCAATTATGTGATCCAAGTCCTGCGCTTGTTGGACCTTGTTCCAGAGTTCATCCCATGAACATTCCAGTACCTGGAGCAATGATTCAGGATGGGGCTGTTTTAATTTGCTAGGCGACAAAGTTCTTTGAAATTTAACACACGCAACACATACAGGATACTAAAAGTGCTTCTTTGTTAAGCAATCAATTGGGTGGATAAAGTGTACCTCAAATGTAATGTAATACTGCATTTGATGAATGAAATGGACCATTTCTGATGCCAGAACGTGACACTGATGCAGCACCCCAGAAAGCTCTGTAAAAAATTCAAAGAGATGGCATGTTAAAGACCAAAAGGACAGCAATAGCCATCAAACCAGCTTGGTAATGCTTTTTTAGCCAAACCAAATACCCCACAAAACAGCCACTAAACTTGCATGGTAACTGTGATACTAGCTGCTAACCCAAGATCAAAGAACTTGGCACAATGAACTCCTTGAAAACAGAGCCAAAAACGACACTGACTGTGCGATCAGACGGTGCTGAAAACCTGCAGAGCATCACAAGAGAAAAAGACCCCTGCAGCCCCCCCAAGAGACCAAAGTAGAGTGAATGTTGCTTGCACTCTTTTCGTTGAAAGTCTGAGACTACAGATCCACAGTTGCTTCTTCCTCCACTCTCCTCAGATCTCTTGTAATTAGCCTTCAAGCCACAGACAGCATAATTTGCATTACTCAGTTACACTGAGCCCGAAACGGAGGATGGTCGTGACGCGACTGGGGAATTCATGACTCAGGTGGTGCAGGCTGAGTTCCTCCTGCCACCACAGAGACCCACTGGCAAGTCATCCTGACAGCCGCAGCTGCTCACCCATCGCCCCTTCTCGTGCCCTTAGACTTAAGCTGGAGGGCCTGAAAAAAGGACACTTCCTGCAAGTCCTTAACAGCAATGACTTGCAAAGGCTGAGAAAGCAAATGGAACGCAGTAGGAATTTGATTTTCTCAGATTACACCAAAGCACAACTATTGGTTCCCCGCCGGGGAGAAGACGGAGACCTGACTGAAGAGACTCTCCCGCTGTGGCAGGGGAGCAAGCGCTTGGTCTCCCCTGGGGAGACTAAACAGCTGTCGGTACTCTCGCAGTAGTTCTCACGTATTGTGAATGGGCAGCTTTCCAGAGATGGGAGGCGTAGCTCATCCATCCTCCATTCAGATACACCTAGCTATATATGTTCCCAAAACTTACTGCCTGCTGAGGACTGGTGCATACAGACTACTAAACAGAGCAGCAGAAAATGAAGCCTCAGAAGGTACACCTCATCTGAAGTGGATTTCTACCTATCAAAGCTCATCATCCATCCAAAATAATGATAGTAATAATCAAAGGGGCACCTGGAACAAGTGAGCAAGGATTGGAAGCTATGAGCACATTCTGACTGCTGCTTCTTGACATGCTTTCCTCCTCTTGCTCCCCTCTTCCTCTCCTATCAAAGCTCATCATCCATCCAAAATAATGATAGTAATAATCAAAGGGGCACCTGGAACAAGTGAGCAAGGATTGGAAGCTATGAGCACATTCTGACTGCTGCTTCTTGACATGCTTTCCTCCTCTTGCTCCCCTCTTCCTCTTGTGAGGCAGTCACACCCCTTTTGCCCTACAGAGAGACCAAAGGAGGAAGAGCTGGAGTGTCACATGATGCAAGGGACTCCCTGGGCCCAGGGCGGTCCCTGGCTAAACCACCCTGTTCACACAAGACAAGCATCGCCAGAGCAAGCCAAACATGTAGCCTCTGCTAATGCAGCTGGCAGTCCACTCAGTGGCTGTGCAGTATAAGAGACTATCCAAGGCATGCTAATGACCGGACTCCTTTAGAAGGGCAAGTTCTCGTGGTCTTCGTAGGAAGACAGAGACTATTAAGGAAATCTCAGGTTAACCCAGCAGATGAGTGTCACCCCAGCACCATACTTCCCATGGACAGGCAGGACAGATGCATAACGCAGGGCTATTGAACTGAAATGTCTTTAGACGGAGTTTGAGGGGCTCTTTTGCCAAAGCCCTATGTCAGTTGCTGCAGAGACCAAGTGGGAGGGCTGTTGTGACTCTCGCTGTAGAAGATGCAAGTGCCCCGAGGAGTGCACCCGCAGCATCCGCTCCACCCTCTTCCCTCTTCACTCTCACCTCCTAAAGATTTAGCTGTCGCTCCCTCGCCCTCTCTTTCTCCTCTTTCCACTCTACCAGCTGCTGGACTCTATCCTATGATTTCAAATGTTTTACCTCATCCAGCAGCATTACAGCCAGCCACAGCAGGGGGAACCAACTGACCCCTTCAAGTGCTGCATGTATTTACTAACCAACCCTGGAGCCTGGGTGATTTAGCATTGTGGGGAAGCAAAATGCCCAGGTTGAGGGAAGACGCAGAAAGGTGCGCTCAGCTATTTTCTCCTATACCTATGTGCTGGGTAGCAGTATCACCAAGTATTTAGGGAGGCATGGAGTGAACCCAAGTCCCTTCTCAGAAGAATGGGCTTATGGTAATTAGCATAATGGGGAAGCTGTTGAAGAGGGCCTAAAGGTAACTAGGAGCCACGCAACAGATAGAAAAGGGAAAGGAATTATCTGCAAGACGCTAGGTACCTGCTTAGAAGCTGCACATCAAGAAAGAAAGAATAGGAATAGAAAGGAGCAGGACCTAAAGAAAGAAAGAGAAGGTAGAAAGGCAATGGAGTTGTTGCTGCCTTTGAAACCGCAGGCAGCTCCCTCCATGAGCAGAATTAACGCACGGCATCGTTAACAACAGCCCTGAGATGGGCTGGGACAATCCAACAGCTGAAAAACCAAACCCGGAGCCCCAGGAAAGAGATCATAGGGAGAGACCAGTGATGCAGGTACCCCCCAGGGAACAGAAGCTAAATCAAAGGGAAATAAGCCTGAAGACCTGTGAGCAGAATCTCAAGAACTGAGAAATGGATTGTGGAGGAAAGCCTTAGCCCTAGGCATTCCCAGCGTGAAGCCTCACCATCCAAGGTCAACCTACTGGAGTAATCTGGAGTCTGATGGAAGCCTCCCAGAAACAAGAGAACAGCCGAAGAGGGGAGCTTACTTTGACTCTTTCAGTGCCAGCTCTCAGAGAGAGAGACAACCCCTTCCTCCCCCTCCCCCATAGGGAGGAATAGCAGGGAATGAAGGGGAAAAAAAAAAAAGTAATGCCTGGAAGGCAATTGGGTCTGCCTGTGCAGCAAGTGGAGGCTTATCAGTGGAGAAGTGGTAATGGCCCATATATCCTGATTCCCGTTGGTCCGCACCGACAATTGGTGAAGTTTTAATAGATACGGGAGCACACATTTCAGTACTAACACAAGACGCCAAGAAGCTAGGTGTGTGCCCCAGACATCAGAGAGTGAAAATTACCAGAGTGAACGGAGCGAGTGTTGTGTGCCTAATCGACAAGGGCGAATTTATGGCTCCCAGGCAAGAGGCACATGTCGACCACTGGCTTTGCAGTTAAAGATCACAATGCAAATATTTCAAGTTTCGAGGTTTTAAACGGACGAAGCTGGCACCTGCTGGACTGCACTGTGTGATCCTTCAGATCAAACCTTGCCCCCAACGCCAGTAGAAATAGGGAGGCTACAGTGCGTGTACTTCGCACAGCCCCTGCGCTCCCTGATTCAAAAATTACTAACGTACTACCACAATATCTGATTTCTGTTGTGGTATGAAATGGAATTTCTGAAGGCAGAGCTGATTTGGAGGAACGACAAATGATCTCCAAAACTCACCTCCCGCATAACTCACCTACCTAGCCAGTTCAGAAACCAGATGGCAAGTGGTGTTTGAGAACTCGTTATCAGTGCCTGAACGCTAATAGAGCCCCATGAACAGCTGCTGTTCCAAATAATGCAAACTTAACAGCTCTGCGCTAAGCAGCTGCACACCCATGGATGGCGGCGCTAGACATGAAGGATATGTTCTTCATGGCCCCCTTGCAGGAGGAGGATAAAGAGAAGCTTGCTTTCACTTGGGAGGGAGTACAACATACCTTTCACAGACCCCCCATTGGGGTATCAACTTTCACCCAAGATTGCTCATGCTGCACTTGCTCAACTTTTACAGGCAGCCCCACTCCCTCAAGATGTAAAACTGTACCAAAACATCGTAGATGATATCCTGATCAGAGGAACTTCCCCTGAGAAGGTGGGGGCAGCGGCAGCAGCAGTATGGCAAGCCCTAAATGAAGTAGAGTTGAGGTTCCACCTGAAAATTGTCAGGGACCAAGTAGGGAAGCAACATTTTTAGGTAGTTGGTGGATAGCAGGCAGCGCAGTGATTCCGCCAGACACCTTTTTTTCAAGAACAACTGAAGAGCTGCAAATGCCCCAGTCAAGGAAGGAGTTACAACAGTTAATGGGAACTTTAGGCTACTGGAGGAAGCATGTACCTGGCTTTTCTGCCATTGCTCGTCCATTGTAGTCACGCTTAAGGAAAGGCAAACCCTGGGAGTGGAAAGTAGGACACAAAGAGGCGCTCTCACTCTACCTGAAGAATTAAAAACAGATCAGTCATTGGGACCAGTACACCCCCCCCCCCAACCCTATTAGAACCGAATGGGGTTTCGCTGAGTATGCTACTTACTGTAACCTGTTCCAAAGCAGCCCCAGTCAAACCAAAAGACCTTCATTATTTAGCTCTACCGCATTTAAGGAAACAGAACAATGATATTCTGAATGGGAAAAAGGACTTTTCCCTTTAGTCCGGGCAGTTCAACAAGTTGAGAAATACACTAGGGACAATGTGTGCAACTAGAGGACCTTTTAATTTGCTAGAAGCAATATAAGGGGACTGCTCCCCCACAAGGAGTTGCACAAAAACCCACGGTCAGAAAATGGTAGGCCTACCTAACAGGTGTGCAGAAAATACGCAGTGAACTGAAGGACACACTAAGGCTTCCAAATTACAGATGCCCGCAGATACAGGCCCCTTGGTGTTACCACAACCTTTTAAACCTTCACGAATTGTGAATGCACCGCCCCTCCCTGAGGATACACCAACAGAAAACACTTGGTTCACTGATGCCACAGCAAAAAGGATATATGGTGTATGGCAATGTAAAGCCGCTGCACTAGATATTGCCAGTGGCAAGTAATAGAAGAAGGTGAAGGCAGGGCACAAGTAGGAGAATTAGAGCAGTAGTTTTGGCAGCACAGAAAGGAGCACAAATCATATGGGTAGACTCTTATGGTGTGCAGGCCCGTGCCACACAATGGTTCTGTCAATGGGAAACCTTGAATGGGGCAAGAAATAGATCTCCAGTTTGGGGGAAACAAGATTGGCAATTCTTACTAAATCTAGCCCAAAAAACACCATTCAGGATGGGATGGGTGAAAGCTCCTGCCAAGGAGAGTCAATGCCCCACACAGTGGAACTAAAGGTGGATGAGAGGAGGAAGGAGGGCTCTGCTTTCCCAAGTGGTCAGCAATAATCTCGACACATGCAAATGACTGATAGTAAGTGGCTAGCAAAAAAGCCCGGGTGAGAAGTCCTCGCTTGAGAGCGAATGACCAACTTCCTCCTCAAATTCGAAAGGTGCGTGACTCCCAAATATGCACCGTGGCGAGATCATACCTGATTTGACTCATGGTACACATCATCCATGTAGTATAAATAGACCTCGCTCAGGACAGCCATTTGAACTCTCCTGAGGAACAACGGGCCTGTACACAAGGATCTCCCCTTGAGTGGGGCCATCTCTAAAGTCGAAATATCTCTCACACTCCACGAACAAAGGTAAAAACTATTCCTTAGTCAAGAGAAACTTAAAAAAAAGAAGAAGAAGAAGAAGAAGAAGAAGAAGAAGAAGAAAGAGCATTTCACATTCTCCTCCAGGTAGAAAATAGTAATGTGCTAGACTATGCACACAACTCAATATTCAGCCTCAATTTAATCACCTATGTGTATATCTGGCAGGTATGCTCCTAACAACCAAAGGGAGGACTGTGAGAAAAGGGAGCTAATTTAGCTCTAGCCCAGCTTAGCACTAGTGCCTGAAGCAGGTGAAGCCTGCAGGCTGCAGGAGTGAATTGGAAATGAGCTTGAAAGACATTGCTGAGGATGCGACTGCAAAACCAGCTAGAACCAGCCCTCCAAGATACAGAACACAATGGACAGAGCTAACAGTTAACCTTTGGATAAGGCACTGTGAAACAGGAACATAGCAACCATCTTGGGTTGTAGACGTGACTTTTGACAAACCTATTCTCAGTCGAGGATCTGGCAGCTCGGGCTCTCTGCAGCGCTCTCGTTGCTCACCACAGTTCTTGCAAGAGATGCTGCTCCTGTCAGTGAGTTGCAACAGAGCATTC